TGGTGACAGTGGGAAAGTCTGTTATATTTGTTCCTACACTTCATCTTGAAAGTTGACGTTGAAATGCAGAAAACAATCCAATCAGCTGACCTCCCTCATCAATAACAGCTTGCTAGCATCATTAGCTTGTAAATCACAGAGGTGGAAAGAAAGAAGAGGAAGAGGAGGAAGAGGAAGAGGCCGGAGGTCACAGCCAAAGCTTTTACTGGATCAACAATTCAATGAGGACAATCTGAATTATTGATCGGTGGGATCTGCGGGTCAGACGGAGAGGATGACAGACTGTGGAAACAGCAGCAAACATTCCTACCGACTGCAATAAGTCTACACAATTTAAACTCCCACCGTACATTTCACATTTATATCCTAATATCTATTCATCTATTCCTCACACACTTAATGCATATATAATATCCTGCTTTATCTTGTGTTACTATACATTTTATTTCTATTTGAGACGTTTACATTTTGGATTGTTTATTTCCACTCTTTTCATTTCTCTAATGTTCAACGCCTTGTCTTTTTAAGCTGCTGCAACTCAAACATTTCCCAACGTGGGATCAGTAAAGTACTTCTCATCTTATCTCATCTCATCAGACGCTACAAAACAGTCAGAGAATACGTTTACTGCTAATTTAAACCTCCTCTTCTTGAAGGAAGAGAAAGACAAACGCTCTCCATAGAGACGCCAGGAATGTAGGAGGATGTTTCCAGACCCTTCCTAACACTGTCAAAATACTCCTAAACAAGTCAAGCATTGTTACATTCATAACGAAACATCATATTTATAAACTCTTGTACATTTTATGCAGAAATCTTAATTATTAAAAGGCCCTGGGGGTTTTATTTTTCTCATACTTTTTTCTCACACTACCTGCACCTCTTTTCACCCTCTGCTCTGATTGGTTAGCTGATCGGCTCTGTTGTGATTGGTTAACAGCTTACAGATGTCCCGCCCCTTAGCCTATCACGGACCATTTACAGAAATACACACTATAGGGCCTCTTTAAACTAATAAGTAATAATGTAGTATATAGTGGCAAAAAAGACACTTAAGTAAAGTACAAGTACCTTAAATATGCACTTAAGTAAATGTACTTAGTTACAGTGTGGTTGTAAATGTGTCGGAGCAGAAAGAATAAGAGGAGGGGTCTTTACCCTCTTTCTAAAGGAGTACTACCAATAAAAAGAGATTCACATGTCCGTTACATTTCCATAGTGACGCTGGGAATGAGGGTGAGGGGGGAATACCCTCACCCGAATACACACACACACACACACACTCACAAAACAAATACAACACACACACTTGAGAGCAGCATACGTGCCCTCAGTGTAAAGCAGAGACCCTCCCCTCTGAGCCGGAGTAAATTGAGAAGGGGTTTACATTCTCCTGGAGATATGGGTCGCCTACATCTGCAGAACACGCAGCTGGGGAAATGTGAACATGGCTGGGAGGATTTCTGGGGGAACAGATTTGCACCAAAGGGGGGGATGGTAGAGGTCATGAGACTGTTTCAATGTTACGGCTGATAACTGGAGCAAAACAACACACTTCTACTTCAGGATGTGAGGTGAACCAGGAGCTATGAAGGACTCTGCACGACCACACGGACTGAAAGGCTCAATATGTGAGAATAAAGAGGGTATTTGTCACTAAATATCCAGACGAAATATATAGAGAAAACTGCCAAAATGAATACAATTTCTATTAAATGGAATGATTTTGTGGATCGGAAACAGACCGACTATGAGGCGTTTTCTTTTAGAGTGAATCTAAAATTGCTGCCAAAATCATCATTCATCTGAAGGTTGATTTAACTCAAACTAAAATGACAAGCATGCAGCACATTGTGCACGAATCATGCAGCATAGATGGACTAAATAAATCCAAACATAGCTGAAAAAGTGATGAGATTAAACTCATTTTGACTCCATGTGCTTACGTTCCTTAAACTAAAACTACCCCGGATAAAAACGACTGAAATGTGGCTGAAAATAAGAAAGGTTTCGTCCACATTTACACTAATGTTGCAGATTACATTTACAGTTATACCTTGGGATTTGAGAAGCTGACATGGAAATGTTTCACTAATTCTTGACATGTATTGTTAGTGACAACCATCTGACTGTTCCTTCATCCAACAGTACGCATGCCAGCGATGCAACTAATGATTATCTTCATCATGGAGTCATCGACTAGTCCATAAAATGGTGATAAATGTCCATCCTAGTTTCTCAAAGTCTGTAAATATCTTATAAATCATTCATGCAAACATTATAGAACATATTTTATGCAAACACACATTACAGTGGACTTTGAGGAACTACGCTGGATACTTCTCACTATTTTCAGATTTTCTTTTTATCCATAAGATGCAGAAAATGATGGTAGTGGCTCCTCTGAAGGTCACCAAGGCTTTGAAGGTTATCTGTAGGAGTCTGAGATGTGTGTTTTTGTTCAGAATACCTGCAGAGCTGAGGTGTTTTCTCCTCGTTTCCCTGCCTGGATCAATATCTCTGCTGCATTGAGTGCCTGTGACGCAGGGGGGATCAATACAGGGTCTCAGAGGGGAACAAGCTCCACAGTCGGTGTGTTGGTGTGTTGTTGTTGTGTTGTTAGACGCTTTTATCCAAAGCCACTTACATACATTCAGTACTGTGGACAAACCCCACAGGAGCACTTTGGGGTGAAGTGTCTCAGGGACACAACGACATGCTGACTGCTGTGGGACTCGAACTTGCTATGCAAATTCTTGCTATGCAAAATATTGCTATGCTTTTCAAAGTCCAGCACACTATCCACTGAGCCACAGCCTCCCTCAGCCTCTGCAGCTCTGTGAGACTGCTGTGCAACCACCTCAGGGTTGTTTTAGACAACATGGATTGGGACTGAGTACCAGACATGAACAGAAATATACCTTGGAATTTGAGAAGCTGAGATGGACATTTGTCATTATTTCTTGACATTATCGTTAGTTGCAACCATCTGAGTGTTCCTTCATCCAACAGTATGCATGCCAGGGATGCAACTAATCATTTAGTCATCGATTAGTCCATAAAATGTAAAAAAAATAGTGGAAAATGTCTATCTTAGCTTCACAATTTGAATTGCCTTCCTCTCTTTACATTGTATTAAAGGGAATATCTCTGGGACTAAACAAGACATTTACAGATATACCTTGGAATTTGAGAAGCTAAGATGGACTTTTTTCACTATTTCTTGGCATTTATTGTTAGTTGCAACCATCTAAGTGTCATCGATTAGTCCAGAAAATGTCAGAAAAAGGGAAAAATGTCCATCCTAGTTCCCGAAAGTTTTTAAACGTCTTTCAAATCGTTTTATGCAAACATGTCAAAAATGAGCCTCTCAAATGTGGAGATCTGCTGCTTTTCTCTGTTTCATATCATTTAATGACATGTAAAGACATTACAGTGGACTTTGAGGAACTGGGATGAAAACGTTCTGCTATTTTCTGACTTTTTATCCATTAAATAAAGAAAATAATGGTTGGTTGCAGCCTACACACAGGTCAGTAAGCATCTGTGTGAACAATACACCGTGTAATTACTGCTACTTTCATTCATGCATATATATCTAGTTGTTCTTGTGTCCCTTTATACATGTTTGGATGTGTATTTTAACCCCATATCAAGCCAAATGGTCGTCTTTTAACTATGACTTATCCATCCCATATTTAAATTAACACAGTCATTAAAATGAGAAAGCATCATATCCATATATGTAGGAACATTACCAACGTTTGCAAAGACAATCTGCTCACACTGAAACACAACGCGGTGTGTTCTGGCTGAGCATGCACACACACACACACACACACACACACACACACACACACACACACACACACACACACACCCACACACACAACACACACACACACACACACACACACACACACACACACACACACACACACACACACACACAACACACACACACAACACACACACACACACACACACACACACACACACACACACACACACACAACACACACACACACACACACACACACACACACACACACACACACACACACACACACACACACACACACACACACACAGTACAGGACCATTAATCATAAGCAACCCAGTTCTGTTTCCTTCTCATGTGCTCCTGCAGACTGTATTTGTGTACAGTCGCATGGTGCAGAGGTTGCATGCCACAGAGATGAAATCAAAAAGGACATACAGATTTTGAACTCTGAGGGTTAACAAACATGCACATCAGCAGGAGCAAACCAGTTAAAACCAGTCGGATAAATCCATCAAACATCCAGTGCAATCAGATAGGATGACACAGAGTGGTTCTGCTAACAAAGCCATGTTTTAGTTTGTTTGTCTGACTGTCAGCAGGATTACAGAACAACCACTCGTATGATTTAAATGAAACTTAGTGGAGGGGTGAAGTACGGGACAACGAAGAATCAATGACATTTTGGAGCGATTCTGAATCACTAGGCAGAAATAGGAAGCACTTTTCTATGGACACGGCCATGGCGGATTTCTACACTCTTGAAGCGCATTTGTGGTTCGTACTGGAGAGCAACACTATCAAAGTGACTCAAGTATTTTGGGTTTACTCAAATAAATACACTCTGAAATAGGTTTGTTTTGCACGTGTATTAATCCTTCACTTTTTGCAAAGGTCATTCATAGGGCAGTCCCTTTTTTGTATTTCTATCGTCGTGTTCAAACCTGATTTTCTTGCAGATAGAGACTGAGCTCAGTTTGGACGATATATTCAGCTGTTTTGCCCTCAAGGTCTTTCCTAATTTCTTCTGGCAATGCGCTGGATTCTGTTTAAGAAAGAGAGTGTTTTATTGGGTTGTTCTTGTTTTTGCAAAGGTCATTCATAGGGCAGTCCCTTTTTTGCATTTCTCTCGTCGTGTTCAAACCTGATTTTCTATAGAAGGTTCAGAAAACGATATTCAGTTCAGTAAAAAGCATGGAAACAGAAAGTCTGGACTCACCCAGGTAGAGAGAAGCGTTCTCCTTCTTCACGTTGTCGTCCAGGTACGTGGGTCCCAGGGTGTAGATGGGCGTTGACCCCATGCCCACCAGGATCTGAGCCACGATGAACAGAGTGACGTACAGATTGTGCTCGTTTCCCTCTTGATCTCTGGGGCACGACCCCGTGTCCATTTCTCTCCCGGTGCCGTTAATCCCACTCTGACACAGGCCTCCCCTCCCCATGGAAGAGTTCATCTCCTGGATCTGATAGGGCGGAGAGATGAAGTGCGGCAGGGAGAATAACGCCGCCCCCACCGCGATGATAACGCCTCCCACAGCGAGCCAGCGGGGTCTCTGACCTCGACCCCCGAAATAAGAGATGAAGACCACCACCAGGAGGCTGCCGATGTCGAAGCAGCTGACGAGGAGACCAGATTCAGAGCTCCTGAGGTTGTACCTGTTGAGTTGAGTAATTAAAACGAAATGTAAAGATCTCCTATCATGCAAAATCCACTTCTTCATGTCTCTTCTACATCAACATGTGTCCCCTCTTCTTCATGTCTCTTCTACATCACCATGTGTCCCCTCTTCTTCATGTCTCTTCTACATCAACATGTGTCCCCTCTTCCTCATGTCTCTTCTACATCAACATGTGTCCCCTCTTCTTCATGTCTCTTCTACATCAACATGTGTCCCCTCTTCTTCATGTCTCTTCTACATCAACATGTGTCCCCTCTTCTTCCTGTCTCTTCTACATGTGTCCCCTCTTCTTCATGTCTCTTCTACATCACCATGTGTCCCCTCTTCTTCCTGTCTCTTCTACATGTGTCCCCTCTTCTTCATGTCTCTTCTACATGTGTCCCCTCTTCTTCATGTCTCTTCTACATCACCATGTGTCCCCTCTTCTTCATGTCTCTTCTACATCAACATGTGTCCCCTCTTCTTCATGTCTCTTCTACATCAACATGTGTCCCCTCTTCTTCATGTCTCTTCTACATCACCATGTGTCCCCTCTTCTTCATGTCTCTTCTACATCAACATGTGTCCCCTCTTCTTCATGTCTCTTCTACATCAACATGTGTCCCCTCTTCTTCATGTCTCTTCTACATGTGTCCCCTCTTCTTCATGTCTCTTCTACATCACCATGTGTCCCCTCTTCTTCATGTCTCTTCTACATCACCATGTGTCCCCTCTTCTTCATGTCTCTTCTACATCAACATGTGTCCCCTCTTCTTCATGTCTCTTCTACATCACCATGTGTCCCCTCTTCTTCATGTCTCTTCTACATCACCATGTGTCCCCTCTTCTTCATGTCTCTTCTACATCACCATGTGTCCCCTCTTCTTCATGTCTCTTCTACATCAACATGTGTCCCCTCTTCTTCATGTCTCTTCTACATGTGTCCCCTCTTCTTCATGTCTCTTCTACATCAACATGTGTCCCCTCTCATGTCTCTTCTATGTCTCTTCTACATCAACATGTGTCCCCTCTTCTTCATGTCTCTTCTACATCAACATGTGTCCCCTCTTCTTCATGTCTCTTCTTCATCAACATGTGTCCCCTCTTCTTCATGTCTCTTCTACATCAACATGTGTCCCCTCTTCTTCATGTCTCTTCTTCATCAACATGTGTCCCCTCTTCTTCATGTCTCTTCTTCATCAACATGTGTCCCCTCTTCTTCATGTCTCTTCTACATCAACATGTGTCCCCTCTTCTTCATGCTCTTCTTCATCAACATGTGTCCCCTCTTCTTCATGTCTCTTCTACATCAACATGTGTCCCCTCTTCTACATGTCTCTTCTACATCAACATGTGTCCCCTCTTCTTCATGTCTCTTCTACATCAACATGTGTCCCCTCTTCTTCATGTCTCTTCTACATCAACATGTGTCCCCTCTTCTTCATGTCTCTCTTTTTGTCCTGATCCATTTCTATAAAAACCTGTCTGAAAATGAGCTGATCAGATTTTGGCCACATGATGATGTCATAACGATGTTTTGGCTTGTATAACCATTAGCCAATCAGCAACCAAGGTAACCCCCCCCCCCCCCTTATCACCTGAATCTCCTCCTAGAGCACCATTGAGTTCTTTGTAACCAAATGTCTCTCAGAGGGGCGTGGGGAGGGGCTCCTTATTTTCATCTAAAGTAACAGACAGAGAATCAGCACTTTGGAAACAGGGCTGAAACAGAGGGGATTATGGGTAATGCTGCAATGATCCGTTTGGTGTTTCAGCCAATCAGAGACAGGCTCTGGATATATCTGAGACCTGTGATATATTGATGAAAAACAGTATAGTAGGAGACCTTTAACAGAGCTCAGGTGTTTAGATTAACCTATTTTATCAATATATACGACTCCAACATACCTTTTCTCGATGGTGGTGATGACGCTGCTCAGGTATCCGGACACCATCAGTGATTGGATGAAGGTCAGGTAGCACATGCAGAACAGGAAGCAGCGTGAATCTCTCAGAATGACCCGAACATATTTTCTAACCGGGGTGCAGATAAGGCGACTGAGGGAGAATCCCAGGTTCTTTTTTTTACCCGGTGCAGAGCTACTTAACCCCAACATGCTGGAGGCAGACGGGGAGAAATCCGTCCTGGAAGAGGGGGTCTCCGGGGTCCTTAAATGGAAATCTGCACTTTCCTCCAGGGCCACACAGGTGTCGTTCAGGATGGGAAGGCTCCAGGACTTTTTGAAGCTAGTTTCCGGCTCCAAATACTGATCCTGAAGCTCTCGGATCTCCAGAGACTCGGACAGATCGCTGCCGGTCTCATCGTTATCCGAAGAAGTCATGGTGCAAGTTTAGGGGTCAAAAACTAGGGTCACATGGGGAGAAAAGACCCTGTGAATGAGAGCCTCTAATTATCAGCATGCTCTTTCCCACATTACAGCTCCAGTAATGATGCTATGAAGTTAATTCTGTGAAATAACTAGCCTATAGGATACAAAAAGCATCTGTGTGTACACTGTGCCCCTCCCATTGATGGCTCTTTGTTAGAAAGCTTAAACTACTGTTTAAACATCTGAATTTCCCCATGGGGATTAATAAATGTCCATCTTATCTTATCAGCATAGTGCAGCCAGTAATGATGCTATGATGTGAATAACTAGCCTATAGGATGTAAAAAGCATCTGTTTGTACACTGCCCCCCTCCCATGTAGATTTTATGGATCTTTGTTAGAAAGCTTCATTCTATCCAGGGGCTTTGTGTCCCTTAGATGTGCAGCATCCTAGAAAAAGGACAAAAACAGGAATTAGAATCTGTCAAAAACCCCTATATATATATATATATATATATATACCCTAACCCTCATATTAATAATGTAAGTCCGGCACATGCTTTTGAACAAGTTGCACATTTCTAATCCAAAAAAGACCTCTTTTTGAACCTGCACAGCTCGCCACGTTGAATATAGGATTTGTCATGTTATATTTTACTGTACTCTTTACTGTAAAAGTACTATTTTTGCTGCTTTCTTTAAAATAAATCCTCATATGTGTCAAATTAAACGGATTCTGACTCATGCTATCTAGACATACATGCACTCTGGGTTAAACGGCGACACTCTTTATCGCTAAATTGCTATAAACTAGTTAATAAACCACTAAATAAGATTAAAAAATGAGCCGGAGGAGGAGGGTTAGTGTTAAATAACAGCAGCTTTCCTTTGTCAAACACACAGCTGAGAACAAAAGGAGCACGCTGTGCACAAACCCCTCGTGCAGGACTTTGGGAATAAAAACAAGAGCCGGATTAAAACCCGATCTTTTACCCTTAATAAAGCGACAGTAATGACGTCACTCAGGTAAAGAGGGTGACAGGTATTTTTGGGTGATAATTGAGAGAAAGGGTTACTCACTGAGGACAGGAGGTAGCTGTTGTTCTGCAGGAGAGAAGCTCTGAATGACTGCCGCTATGATGGTGCGTTCAGGGGCTGTAGGAAATATTACAAATCATGGAAAAATGTGCTGAATGTGCATATTTTTATTCACTTTAAACAGTGTGTATAAGTAAAGCTTGCACATAGGAGACATTTGTCATTATTGCATATATATTTAGTTTAGTTTTTGTGTCATTTTAGACATGTTTGGATGCGTATTTGAATCCCATATTTAGCGAAATGGTCGTCTTTTTACTAAGAATAATCACATATTTCAATTATATAGTAATTAAAATGAGAAAGCATCATATCCATGTATGTAGGAGAAAACAGAAAGCCTACATTAATGAGTATATAACATATTTTACGTTTATTTCATGATTAAATAAACATTTTCAACATCTATGAAAAACAAGAAAACATGAAAGCTATAGAATAAATCAACTTTCACGATTTCATTACCATTATTACAATAGTTATTACACATGAGCAAGAGAGATGCATTCGCTGCGCTGCATCAGGACGGAGTGAGGCAGAAGAGGCTTCCACACGCTGTTTATAAAGAGGTGTGGGAGGGGCTTATTTCCCATGTAACTTTCGTGAAACCTCCGTATGTCACGGTGAGCAGGTGAGTATCCATAGTTTTTTCTTAATCCTGTTTTTTTCTTCAAAGTATATTCAAGGCACATTCCTTGTATGCATGGGCGTAGTTTCCACTGGGGACATGTCCCCCCCACTTTTCAAAATCCCGTTTGTGTCCCCCCCACTTTTCAAATGTGTTTATTAAGACTGAGAGGCTGAGATAACGTCAGTTTAGCCGATGTAAAGGACTCGCTGAGTGATTAGATTGTAAACTTTAGTCTAAGTTATCTCAGTGGGTCTCAAACGGTTTGGTCATCTATGTAAAGAAATATTTCCATCTATTTAATATAGTTGTTCAAAATAAGTTAAGAAATCATTCCAATGTCAGTAAAAAATTAAAAGACACAGTTTAAAAGGGGAGTGATTAGTAAAATATGCATACATAAAAAGAAAGAATGCAGACTAGGTAAGTTTAAGATAAGAGAGAGGAGTATATCAATTATGTGTTATTGGTTGTGAGCATATTCTAATGGTTTTTGGAATATTGAAATGTATACAGTTCTGTTTCATATGAGTGTTGAGAACTGTATCCATAAATCTTTTAATTTTGCTCTCAAAGTGCACCAGATTGATGCTTTTAACTTCAATTTAAAGACAAAAATCTTCTCCTCATTATATATACTACACATTTTTCTTGGATTTTTTAACACCATAGTCCCTAATATATTCGTAGAAAGGCAGGAAATTGAATTAAATTGAGAAAAATGTTTCATTGCGGAGGACCTCCTGTTTTGTGTCCCCCCCACTTCTCAAACCAAAGTTACACCCTTGCTTGTATGTGTAAACTTAATTGTGATTCGGAATAGGTGGAGAAACACAAAACCAACGAGAGTTTTGGGATGGCCAAGATGCTTCTAGATGAGGAGTATGGTTGGCCAAAGGTGGACAAATGTCAAAATATGTGTTTTTCAACACGACCTTCAGCCCGACCAGGAACCTGACAAAACACCTCCAGATCGCCTGGTCGGAGATGCACTTTCGGCCCCTACACACGGCGGCGTGCGTTGACGCTTGGCGGTGGGCGGTGGGCGTGTCTTGAGCTTGGGGAGTTTACGCGAGCAACGCAACCAACAACCAATCACATGAATCTCATGTTATCATATAATTACATGTCACACTTTATATGATGAACATTTATGACATTAATGTCTATGGTGTTATTTTACGCAACATTCCATGCTGGCTAAATATACTGTCACAGTTACAGTTAGTAACAAATCACAGTGCTCTGAGATTTGTTACTAACTGTAAAGCACTTACTCATCACTGTACCCTGTATGCCAAGGCAGGTCTGCCTTCACTTACTGTTCGGAGGCTCAGTCATTGGTACATATTCATCTATAAAGCCATGCTGGGTTATTTTTGTTGTTGTTAAGTAATACAACACAGAATGATATGATGATCTCCGCGCTACAGCTGCTCCGTGCATGCATGCAGTGACATGTAATATCCAAGGATTAGAGACTGTTGGATGCTGCTGTTTTGAGCATTGCAATACATTTATTTTTATTATGTTTTTTTATGATTACAGACGGTTGGATGCTGCTGTACTGAGCATTGCAATATATTTATTTTCACTATGTTATTTATTTATGATTATCCTTAGGCTCAGCAAAGATGTGATGTCAGCTGTTGCTGTCTTTTTTTCTATAGTTACTACTGAAATAGAGCCCTGCTGTTTTGTCAGGGCCTTTTCTTTAAATATAATTTTAAAATGTCGATACAGTAGCCCCTTTTTTAAAATGTCTATGCTTAAGTTTTTATCTCAATCTCAATCTTTATTTATTTATATAGCACATTTAAAACAACCTTCAGTTGACCAAAGTGCTGTACAGGCAATAAATATGAAATAACACAATGGGAGTACAATAATAAAACAATAATTAAAAACATGATAAAAAGCACAATAACTAGAAAAATATTTAAAAAAAAAAATGTAATGTAATGTTCAACTAGTATTAAAAGCCAGTGCAAAGAGGTGAGTTTTTAGCTGAGATTTAAAAAGTTCAATAGACTCAGCAGTCCGGATATGTACTGGGAGGCTGTTCCATGGTCTAGGAGCTACAACACTGAAAGCCCTGTCACCTCGGGTTTTGTTATAGGTGTTGCTATCTGCTTTGTGTAGCGTGGTTCAACAAGCAAGTCAGTGCATTCATGGGGCGGTATCAGAGAGATACAAGGGTCTGTAAATGCAATGAAAACAATTGGCCACAGCAAATAATTGATATTAAACATGTAATTTTTACTTTTGAATACTTCAGTACAAAGGATGTATTGAATAATTTAAGTGATATGTGTACACATATAAATCATGAGTCAAAACAGGGCTACATTTGATTGAATTATAAAAGGTATAATATGTGGTAAACTGAAGAGCCGTTTGGGAGCCGAAAGAGCCGGTTCTTCTTGGTGAGCCGAGCCAAATGATCCGGCTCACCAAGAAGAGCCGGAATTCCCATCACTAGTAATTTCCCGTGTTCAGTGAATGCAACAGAGGCATGACACCAGACCAATCAGGGAGTTGCATGGAAATAAACGTGTGCTTGTGTCATTCAAGCTCGGCTCTGTGTGTGTGTGGCAATAGCGCATTTATGGCGCATTTCCACCACACGGTCGGCCTCGGCCACGCTCGGTACTGCTTGGCCGCGTTGGGCCTTAACAGGGCCGGCTCAATACATGCTGCGCTTCCATTACAGTTTAGGAACTGGGGTAGTTACTATAGTAACGCAGTGTAGGCGGAGCCGTGACGTCATCTTCAATGAGAACCCCAGAAAAACAACACAGCCGTTAGCTGTTAGCACTCAGAGCTCACAGCTCCTCATATCTGTTCAGAAACTAGACAAAAGTTAAACAAGTACAAACCACAGCCTGCCTGTGTCATGGTGAATACAGTCGCTGGTTTATTTATGTCTGTAGGCCGTTGTTGTGAGTGTGGACGGTCGGAGCATATATTGAGTTAGCTTAGCCAATCTCCATCTAGAAAACACGCATTTTAAAAGGTTTTTCGCCTGCCGTCTGTCTGCAGACTTGTCAAAGCATTAATTCATGGTTTTTACTAACCGGTATCAGTATGTTGTTACTTCATCATTTTGAAACGTGTATTACAATTAAATCACGGTCAAATATGTCCATCTTGTTGTAGTTGTAGCCCCCTTGCCAGCGCTCCTCTCTCTAGTTTAGCATACTCAGCCCGACTCAGCCCTGTTTGTTGGCCCCGATAGAACCACAATTTTGTCGGGCCAGAAAAGAGGTGAAAAAGTGGCCCCGGGCCGGGCCGGGCCGTACCTAGGCCTAGTGGAAGCTCAACCAAAAACGGGCACGGCACGACACGGCACGCTTAAACCGCGCTCCGCGCCATGGTGGAAATGCGCCATTAGTGTGATAGAGAGAGAGAGAGCGAGAGAGAGAGAGGGAGAGAGGGAGAGAGGGAGAGAGAGAGAGGGAGAGAGAGGGACCGGTGCCAGCCATGGATGTATAATAAGAACAGCCAGACCCGGCGTCATGGCCGGGCCCCATGGCCCATCCAGGATTTGGGCCCGCTGTTTTAAATAGGGCTGAATACAACATTTTAATTGTTTTATTATTATGTTTGTTGTTGTTATTTGTAGAGCTTTGTCCTAATATTTATTTTTGTATTAAACTATGTTGAAAGATTAGTTTAATATCATTTTTTTATTTTGCTAGGAAATTCTGAATGAAATTCTGAATGAAAGGCTGCGCGCGAGACTGGTTTTTCGCTGGGTTGAGTCGTGTGTGGGTTTTTGAGTGAGATGCGGCACAGCAGCCTGTCAGTTTACTCTTGCTAGGTTAGTTTGGCTATTATCATTTATAATTATCTGCAACAATGGATATCAGGAAGTGGTTCACGAACAAAAAGAGCTCACCAAAGGAATATGGCAACTCAGTGCTAGATGCAGGCACGTTAGAAGAAATCAGTTACGTTACCAAGCCAGCAAGCCAATGGCAATCAATTATATTTTGAAGATAAATTGACTCTCAAGCCGGCTCTCTCACAAACTCCTGCTCTGTGCGCAAGCAGACCGCTGCACACGCTCTCTGCCTTGCTCTCTCTCTCTCTCTCTCTCTCTCTCTCTCTCTCTCTCTCTCTCTCTCTCTCTCTCTCTCTCTCTCTCTCTCTCTCTCTCTCTCTCTCTCTCTCTATCAACCTCACTCCACCTCTCCACCCTGTGTGCGCTCAAGTTTGCACAGCGTTACAAATGTGCCACAAAACCAACCAATGGAAGTATAATAAGACCGTCAACAGCGTTATGGTAACTTAAAACCCCTCTCTCTCCACAACAATTCACGAGCGCCTCCCCCCATTGACAATTCAGATTTCCCGGGAAATGTAAGTTGGGGTAGGCCCGCCCTGGTAAATCAAATGCCCGCCCAGAGATGTATGTCTGCCGCCGGGTCTGAGAACAGCAGGGACCGTGTTGTTAGCATCTGGTTAGCTAGCTGCGCTAACGGACATAAGGAGCTGTTTGTTCCACAAGAAGCTGGAGGAGAGTCCTCTCCTCTCAGACTGAGAGACTCAGGTGAGCTAAAGGACTCTCTGAGTGTTTAGATACATAACTCTAGTCTAAGTTATCTCAGTGGGTCTCAAACGGTTTGGTCACAAATTATTCAAAAGATTATTTCCGCGGCACACCTTCATATGATCATTATAGTTATAAAAAAAATAAGAGAATAAAGGAAAAACAGTTATGAAATACTATATGGCAGTGAAACAAGAATAGAGTTTAAAAGGGGAGTGATTAGTAAAATATCCATAAAGAAAAAGTACATCTGTTTACAGTTCTGCTTCATATGGGTGTTGAGAGAGGTATCCAAAGATCTCTTAATGTTGCTCTCAAAGTGCACCAGATTGATGCAT